TAGCGCAGATGAATCTGATGATGACAATGAGTATCATCTGACGAACACACAGAGGTACGTAAACGAACGTGCCTCCATTGCTCTGTGACTTGGTTTTTTTTTTTTTTTTTTGTGTGGTTTGTCAAACTGTCGGAAATTCTAATTTTCACTGAATGTTTGTTTGGCCGTGTGTGTGTGCGCGTACATACGTAAAGAAAGGGAAGAGAATTGGGGAGAAAGATCCGAAATAACAATGTTTGCTTTGAAACCATGGCTATGGGCACTGAACATTACCCTGAACCCCATTCTCCATACTATTCTATTCTGCTCGGCTCTTAATGAAAATGTTTCCAATAAATGTCGGAATGATAAATGACCACCACCGACTCGATTCGAGGCGAGCGTAAATTTGTAACAACAAAGTCCAAAAGCAAAAAAAAAAAAAAAAACGCAAAACTGAACTATTAACGGAAATCAAATGTGTGTTACAAGGGTCAGAGCAAAACTGCAAAAACACAACGCCGAACGAAACAAGGTTAATTTAATATCCAAAGATCATCAATTGAATGGTGGAGAGGAAATGACAATGCAAATACCTAAGAAAGGGTTAGAGAAGGCGTGACATTTTCTAACTCTGGGGAAAATATTTTCTAGAGGGGAAAAGAAAGAACTGATAAAACCGAAAATTATTAAAAAAAAACAAATTAAAAAGCAGTAAGTTTGGCCGAGCCTAACTTTGAATACCCTCTACCATTTGGAACAAATTTGGAAATTTTCAAAAATTTAAATCCTTAAAAAATTCTGTTAAACTTCAAAAATACCGAATTTTGGGAGAAACCGTTATATGAGGGCTATACGAAGACGTGGACCTGCACAGACAATTTTCTGTCATAGGCTGTAGTATCCACTACGAACTTCAAATACCAAATTTGAAACAATTCCGGTAAAGAATGTCGCTGAAATCATCAAAATACCGAATATCGGGAGGTACCGTCATATGGGGGCTATACGAAAACGTGGACCTGCATAGACAATTTACTGTCTTAGGCTGTAGTATCCACTACGAACTCCAAATACCAAATTTGTAACAATTCCGTTAAAAAATGTCACTAAAATCATCAAAATACCGAATATAGGGAGGTACCGTTATATGGGGGCTATGTGAAAACGTGGACCCTGCCTACTGTGGACTTTCTTTACTTGTTGTGAAATAAAAAAGTTTTTTTTTTCCAATTCCTGGTCCAATATATTCTACTTCACACCTGTCCATGTGTTAGTATAAATATTTAGATGTGTGAAAGGATCAGGTGCTCATTTCGCATTTTATGAAAGTTCAAAATTTTGACCCTTTTGTGGGGAAATCTCAAAAGGAGTGGATCGATCTTGTATTGGATGAAATATTGAGATTTACGAAATTTGAAGACAATCGGATCACATTTAATAAGAGTTAAAATTATTCAAAATGTTGACTCTTTGTGGGGGGGAGGTAACAGAAGGAGTGGTCCGATATCTTCTATCTTTACACCAGGTCTTGTTGATAGAAATATTGGGAAGTGCCGACTCTTAAGAGAATCGGATGATCATTTCTTGGTTTATGAGCTTTGTCATTATTCAAAAATCTGATCCTTGGTGGGAGAGGAGCCAGAAGGAGGGAGTGGTTCCATCACACCAGATATTCGTACAAATATTAAATTATCCGAAATTCGATAATAATCGGACTGTTATTTCATATTGTTGGGGAGGTACTTGATGAAGTGAGCCGACATTGTCCATTTTCGCACCTGAACTAGTATTGATACAAATTTTGTGATTTGCAAAGTTTGCACAGAATTGGATAATCCTTTTGATTTTTTGCGAGGGAGGAAGAAGTGGACCGATATTACCCCTCTCCTAATTCAATATATGCTTGCTAATAATATTACTATGTATCAAGTTTGGACCAAATCGAGAGCCAGACAGACAGAGGGATCGACGAACATCCCTAGATCGACTCCAAATGCCATGAAATGGATTTGGTCCAAAGAGACCCAGGGCTAAAACAGTTATTTCGATGAGGTACGTTTTGCTTGTATCAGATGATATACACCCTCTGTAGCCATATGGCGAAGGGTATACAAATATTATTTAAATACACCACGTTTTTAGACGGAATGTGTTTTGGAATTTTCTTTAAAGAAATTAACATTTTTAAATACTTATGGCTAGATGGGGCTTGAAAAATATTCCTTAAGAAATGTACGATTATTCCTCGGAACCGTTCTAAAAAATTTATAAAAATTACGAAACTATAATTATTGATGGAAAGTCCAATTATAATAGCATTGATGGAACTGGAAAAAATATTTTAAAATCTACGATTATGGAAGTGAAAACCTTTCTTTTATACTTTACAATTATTGCCTTGGTGTATTCTGAAAAAACTTTGCTTGTATTTTGAAAAAGCCATTATTGCCATGAATAAAAAATCCTTAATTATAGTCTTGGAAACCTGGAAAAATATTCTGAAAACCGTGGATATAATCCTTGATAGACCTTGAAAAAATGAATAAAAAATTACGTTTATTGCTCGGACGGAATTTGAAAAAAATTAAAATCATTGTTCTGTTCGTCTTTGAAAAAATATTCTCAAAAATATTCTTTAAAAATCCACGTTTCCCTTGGTCCTTGAAAAAATATTCTTTAAAAATCCACGTTTCCCTTGGTCCTTGAAAAAATATTCTTTGAAAATCCACGTTTCTGTTGGTCCTTGAAAAAATATTTTTTAAAAATCCACGTTTCCCTTGGTCCTTGAAAAAATATTCTTTGAAAATCCACGTTTCTGTTGGTCCTTGAAAAAATATTTTTTAAAAATCCACGTTTCTGTTGGTCCTTGAAAAAATATTCTTTAAAAAACCATGTTAATGTTGGTCCTTGAAAAATATTTTTTTTAAGTCTACATTTCTGTTGGTCCTTAAAAAAATATTTTTTTTAAGTCTACATTTCTGTTGGTCCTTAAAAAAATATTTTTTAAAAATCCACGTTTCTGTTGGTCCTTGAAAAAATATTCTTTAAAAAACCACGTTTATGTTGGTCCTTGAAAAAATATTTTTTAAAAATCCACGTTTCCCTTGGTCCTTGAAAAAATATTCTTTGAAAATCCACGTTTCTGTTGGTCCTTGAAAAAATATTTTTTAAAAATCCACGTTTTCCTTGGTCCTTGAAAAAAATATTCTTTAAAAATCCACGTTTCTGTTGGTCCTTGAAAAAATATTCTTTAAAAAACCACGTTAATGTTGGTCCTTGAAAAATATTTTTTTTAAGTCTACATTTCTGTTGGTCCTTAAAAAAATATTTTTTAAAAATCCACGTTTCTGTTGGTCCTTGAAAAAATATTCTTTAAAAAACCACGTTTATGTTGGTCCTTGAAAAATATTTTTTTTAAGTCTACATTTCTGTTGGTCCTTAAAAAAATATTTTTTAAAAATCCACGTTTCCCTTGGTCCTTGAAAAAATATTCTTTAAAAATCCACGTTTCTGTTTCTTCTGGAAAAAATATTTTTTTTTTAAATCTACATTTCTGTTGGTCCTTAAAAAAATATTCTTTAAAAATCCACGTTTCTGTTGGTCCTTGAAAAAATATTCTTTAAAAATCCACGTTTCTGTTGGTCCTTGAAAAAATATTCTTTGAAAATCCACGTTTCTGTTGGTCCTTGAAAAAAATGTTCTTTAAAAATCCACGTTTCTGTTGGTCCTTGAAAAAATATTCTTTGAAAATCCACGTTTCTGTTGGTCCTTGAAAAAAATATTCTTTAAAAATCCACGTTTCTGTTGGTCCTTGAAAAAATATTCTTTGAAAATCCACGTTTCTGTTGGTCCTTGAAAAAAATATTCTTTAAAAATCCACGTTTCTGTTGGTCCTTGAAAAAATATTCTTTGAAAATCCACGTTTCTGTTGGTCCTTGAAAAAAATATTCTTTCAAAATCCACGTTTCTGTTGGTCCTTGAAAAAATATTCTTTGAAAATCCACGTTTCTGTTGGTCCTTGAAAAAAATATTCTTTCAAAATCCACGTTTCTGTTGGTCCTTGAAAAAAATATTCTTTCAAAATCCACGTTTCTGTTGGTCCTTGAAAAAATATTCTTTGAAAATCCACGTTTCTGTTGGTCCTTGAAAAAAATATTCTTTCAAAATCCACGTTTCTGTTGGTCCTTGAAAAAATATTCTTTCAAAATCCACGTTTCTGTTGGTCCTTGAAAAAATATTCTTTGAAAATCCACGTTTCTGTTGGTCCTTGAAAAAAATATTCTTTCAAAATCCACGTTTCTGTTGGTCCTTGAAAAAATATTCTTTGAAAATACACGTTTCTGTTGGTCCTTGAAAAAAATATTCTTTCAAAATCCACGTTTCTGTTGGTCCTTGAAAAAATATTCTTTGAAAATCCACGTTTCTGTTGGTCCTTGAAAAAATATTCTTTGAAAATCCACGTTTCTGTTGGTCCTTGAAAAAATATTCTTTAAAAATCCACGATTCCCTTGGTCCTTGAAAAAATATTCTTTGAAAATCCACGTTTCTGTTGCTTCTGGAAAAAATATTTTTTTTAAATCTACACTTCTGTTGGTCCTTGAAAAAATATTTTTTTTAAAATTTTTTTTTTTTGGTCAGTCTTCTATTTTTTGTTTGTTTTGCAAAAAAAAAATTTTTTTTTCGTAACTAATTTGTTGCCTTTTTCTTTTTTATTTTTTGTTTTTGTTTTTGTATTTGTTTTGTTTTTTTTTTTTTTTGCATTTGTTATTTTGACGGGGCACTTGTTATTTAAACCGCACAAGCAAATAATAGTTCCAAATAGTTCGCCACCGGATTCGGTTGTTTGATTTAATTAAATCAGCTCTCGGCTCTTAAATTGCTCCAGTGAAAGTAATTATCATCATCAAATTATCCTCCGCGAACATACTTTCAGATTTCAAATCAATTAAAAAAACAACAACTACAGTAAAATGTGATTGTCTAATTTGTGTATCCATTTCTTTTCACTTTCTTTCCAGCTAAATGCAATTTCGATCAAGACGATAAACCGCATCGCCTCAGTTTGGATGTTGGTGATGCCGTGGTGATACTGAAGGAGACGACACATTGGTATTATGGCTATAAACAACGGTAAGTTGAGTGAATAACAATAACAACAAGAACAAGAATAACAAAAAAAAAAAAACAGTAAAGAAAGCCCTTAAGTCGGGCGGGGCCGACTGTATGATACCCTATACCACTTTGCTAATTTAGTAGAGCTCCGCATAACAATTTAAAATTTTTGTGGAAGAATTCAATCATACACGCTATGATTAGAACTATAATTTAAAGTTCAAAGGACTAAGTATGCCGAAGCATTTGTATCTTTTAAATTCGGACTTATATTGCCCATATGGTGCACAATTAATTTGAAATCGGATAAAGATATATATGGAAGCTATATCCGAATCTGAACCGATCTTGATAAAATTTTGCAAAGATATTTCTGAGCTGCATTTGATATATTTCCCCTGAATATCGTTGTTACAGAGTGCATATTACGGCTGCGGAGGACAAAAATAACAAATCGGATGAACAATATACAATATCTGAACTGATCTTCACCATTTCATGATCATTTGACGTACTAGCTTCTAGACTCAATTCGGTCGTAAGTGCCAAATTCCAACCCATTTGGACAAATATTAGACGTTTGGTGCACAATTAAAGGTAAATCGGACGAAGTTATATGGGAGCTATATCCGAATCTGAACCGATCTCGAAAAAATTTAGCAAATATATTTCTGAGCTGTATTTGATATATTTCCCTGAATATCGTTGTTACGGAGTACATATTACGGCTGTGGATAACAAATATAAAAAATCGGATGAACAATATACAGGGGAGGTATAGCTATATCTGAACCGATCTTCACCAAATTTGGCATCCTAGCTTTTAGACTCAATTCGGTCGTATGTGCCAAATTCCATACCATTTGGACAAATATTAGACGTTTGGTGGACAATGAAAAGTAAATCGGACGAAGTTATATATGGAAGCTATATCCGAATCTGAACCGATCTCGAAAAAATTTAGCAAATATATTTCTGAGCTGTATTTGATATATTTCCCTGAATATCGCTGTTATGGAGTGCATATTACGGCTGTGGGTAACAAATATAACAAATCGGATGAACAATATACAGGGGAGATATAGCTATATCTGAACATATCTTCACCAAATTTGACATACTAGCTTCTAGACTCAATTCGGTCGTAAGTGCCAAATTCCATCCCATTAGGACAAATATTAGATGTTTGGTGCACAACAAAAGGTAAATCGGACGAAGTTATATATGGAAGCTATATCCAAATCTGAGCCGATCTCCATAAATTTTAGCAAATGTATTTCTGAGCTGTATTTGCTAAATTTCCCCGAATATTGTTGTTACAGAGTGCATATTACGGCAGCGGAGGACTAAAATAACAAATCAGATAAACAATATATATGGGAGCTATAGCTATAGGTGAACCGATTTCGATTAAATTTGCCATACTTATTTCCAGGCCTAATTTGGTTGTATGTGCAAAATTCCATACTATTCGGCCGGATATTACACGTTTGGTGCACAATAAAAGGCAAATCGGACGAAGATATATATGGGAGCTATATCTAAATTTTTACCGATTATCTCCAATTTCAATAGGGTTCGTCGTTGGGCCAAATAAATGATTTGTGCAAAATTTCATCTGGATCGGGGAATAAATGCGAACTGTACTTTGTTCACAATGTTCAGCTCACGAGCCATTGTTAGCTCTACTTTCATGATCTGCTGGATTTCTCCCTATTTTTTTTTTTGATTTTCCTAAAAATTCCTAAAATTTTGGGAAAGCGTTACATATTCGAGGTGCCAATAGCTGCAAATAATTAATATTTTTTTATTTAGTTTTGCCCTTTTTTATGGAAATTTATTCCAGAACAAGAAGCCATAATTTTTTGCTACTCCTCTTTCCCCATTCGTATTTTTTTGTATTTACAAGGAACTGAATTTTCAAAATCATATCACAAATATATCTTGCACATAACTTAAACCCGATTACATACCTACATTTCTACATATGAACATTTGAGTTTTGTGTGTCACAATATTGAAAGGCAATACCGCCATCTGATAAGAACCTCCAGACACAAGAACACACGTGGAGGAGAAGGGTATTTGTGAAGAAGTCGACCGAGCAAACTGACGGCAGGCCAGACGATAAACCGAAAATTTCGAGACCATGCGGAAATTTGATTTGATTTTGTATGAAAAGGTTTTAGATTTTTTTTTCACCGACTGGAATCAATGATAAGAAGAGTAGAAGAGGTAGTTTTTTTTTGAGGTAGGTTTGTTCAGAGATTTCAAACATGGATATGGGATATTGGGCAAAGGGAAATATGGAGGGGTAGGAATATTTATTTAGCCTGAAAAAAGAATTCCAAAATGATTCAAAACAAACATAAAATCTGAAAATGGTATCAGATTTAAATCAAATATAAATATTTTTGTTAACAATAACTCAAATACCAAGAGATTTTTTTGGTCTCCTGTTGTTTTTTTTTTTTGTTATCCAAAAAACGTGATTATTGCATTAAATTTCAAATAAGAAAAAAAATTCTTAAATCAACAAAAATTGTTGACAACGGCTTATTTTGCTTTCCGGTTGTAAACAACCACTTGTTGCAACATTCGATATTGATTAACATTTACTTCTGCATACAAATAGGATAAAAGGGAAAGAATCGAAAAATAAAACAAATCGAAATCTTAAAAATAAATGAAAAAAAAAATGCTGCAAATGACCTCTAGAAACCTTCCAACCACAAAACACATAAAAAATTGTTTCCATATTTTTTCAAAGGCCAATAGGGAGTTCTATTAGCTAAAACAAGAAAAAAATCTGTAAGTTCGGGCGGGCCGAACTTTTAATACCCTCCACCTTTCGGTACAAATTTGGCAATTTCCAAAAAAAAAAAAGGAAAATGTGTTAAAACTTCCGTTAAAATCTTAAAAATACCGAATGCCTATACGACGACGTGAACCTGCATAGGCAACTTTTGTCATAAGTTATTACAAAATTTAAATGCGGAACTTGAAGAAAAATCTGTTTATAATGTAGCTAAAATCATCAAAATACCGAATATAGGGGGTACCGTTATATGGGGGCTATACGAAGTCGTAGACCTGCACAGACAATTTTCTGGAACGGGCTTAAGTATCCATTACGAACTTCAAATACCAAATTTGGAACGATTTCGTTAAATAATGTCGCTAAAATCATCAAAATATCGAATATCGGGAGGTACCGTTATATGGAGGCTACATGAACCATTTTCTGTTTAATGCTTCAGTATCCATTACGAACTTCAAATACCAAATTTGGAACGATTCCGTTAAATAATGTCGCTAAAATCATCAAAATATCGAATATCGGGAGGTACCGTTATATGGGGGCTATATGAAGACGTGGATCTACATGGCTCATTTTTTAACTTAGGATGTAGTATCCATTACGAACTTCAAATACCAAATTTGAAACAATTCCAGTGAATAATGTCGCTAAAATCATCAAAATACCGAATATCGGGAGGTACCGTTATATGGGGGCTATATGAAAACTTGGACCTATATGGCCCATTTACGAACTTAACCTGCCTACTGGCAAAATATACATGTGTGCAAAAATTTAGCCTTCTATCTCAATTTGTTCGAAAGATAGCGTGATTACAACAGACAGACACACAGACAGACAGACGGACAGACAGACACACAGACAGACATGGCTAAATCGTCTTAGAATTTTACGCTGATCAAGAATATATATACTTTGTTGGGTCTGACATGAGTATTTCGAGGAGTTACAAACGGAATGACAAAATTAATATACCCTCCATAGTATGGTGGAGGGTATAAAAACAAGCAAGTGCCCTCTACTTCTTCAGCGGAGAGTCCACCTTAAAATTTTAGATTCTTTTGCAACAGTTCATGTTAGAGTTTTTTGCACAATTATATCACACGTCTCCGCAAGCACCTCCATATCTCAATTCCAAATACCAACATAGGGCTCAATATCAAATTTCGGTATTCTAGCCCGATAACAACTTTAGTAATACTTAGTACTTTTCGAACAATTATTGTTCACACTTCCAAACCCGCCTCCAAATCTCAACAGTGACCTTAATATCTCTCTATTCCTTCACTTAGTACCAACATGTACCAAAGATGGTACTATTTAGTACTTTTCGACTAACCAAAGCACACCTCCATATCTCAATATCAAATTTAGAGATTCCAACCCTATCCCTTTAAACTTTAGTACAACTTAGTACTTTCCGAACATTTATAGTACACATTTCCAAACCAGCATCCAAATCTCAAACTTAGATACCAACAGTGACCTTAATATCAGGATTTCTCTCTAATAATTCACTCAGTACCAACTTGTACCAAATATAGTACTATTTAGTACTTTTCGAAGAATTTTGGTACACATTTCCAAACCCATTTCCAAATATAAACCAAAGATACCAGCAGTGATCGTATTGTCGAGTTTCAGGATCTCAGCTCCATTTCTTCACCCAATATCCAATTTAGTACCACTTAGTGATTTTGGTAAAATTATAGTACACATCCCCATCCAAAACCACCTCCATAACTTAATTCCAGATACCAACAAAGTCCTCAATATGAATTTTGGAGATTTTCCAATACCAAATTAAGTTGATTTAGTACTTTTTCGTACAAATATACAACACATTTTCAAAACCATCTCCAGATATCAACAGAGACCTTAATATCAAATTTGAGGATTCCAGCCCTATCACTTTATCTAATAACAAATTTAGTACCATTTAGTACTTTTCGTATAATTATAGTCACATTTTCAAAACCACCACCAGATGCCAACAGAGATCTCAATATCAAATTTCAGAACTTCAGCTTTATTTCTTCACCCAATGCCAAATCCAGAACTTTTCGTACAATTATAGTATATGTTTCCAAAACCATCTCCATATCTCAATTCCAGATACCAACAGATCCCTTATATAAAATTTGAGGATTCCAGTCATATCCCTTCACCCAATACCAATTTTGGTACTTTTCGTACA